TTTCTCCTCTGCCGTGTGCAGGGTGTAATGCTCCTGGCGTCTTGTTTCTATGGGAGCGTTCAGTGTGCGGACGTCATCCTTTCTCAAGCTGAGAACCCAGGAGAAGAGGTCAACTGTGAAGTGTTGTACCCCGACTTTGACAAAACTCCCGTGCCCAAACCGAGAGTGGTGGTAAGATAGCGATGAAAAAGATTTGGCAACCGCCTTTCTTTTTTTCTTTTTCTTTTTTGAAAAGAACACAAACCCGGCTCGAGACAAAAAAATAATAACAAGGTAGATAACATAGTTGCATGCAGAGAAAACAAAGAAACGACTGGAATACAGAAGTTGAGGGTTGACAGAACAAACAACTATTGAGTCGGGGCTGATTACTAGTATCCACTAGCGCAGCTGTGTAGGTGGGGCGTTGTGGACTCCTCCAACCAAATGTCTCGGGATCCTTGCACACAACACGCACCAGGAGGGTTGAAAAAGAAGGAAAGAAGCATGAGCTAGGCCATCAGGTAGTATGCTACTCTGTGGTGTACACGTCGACAGCAGTCCCACAAGTTTCAACTCGAGGAGGTACTTTTTCACTGCTACTTTGAAGCATTGCAGCGCTGCCTTGGATGGGGGAGAGTTCAGGATGGCAGAGGGTAGAGCATTCCATGTTGTTAGTAGACCGAACGGGAAGGATCGGTGTAGGATGTCAGGACTTGTTGCGGGGAGGGGGTTTGACAACTGGAAGGCATGGGAGTGTTTCAATTGATGTTGGTGGCGAGTTCTGGATCGGGCGGGCTCAGGGGCAGCAGGTGGCAGCATGTCTGTCAGCTGGGCCGGACCGGAAATGTGGTGCAGCTTGAACAGGTAGCACAGTCCCCAGACTTGCCGAGGCACTGATAAGCTTGGGAGCATGGTTCCAGCGCCAATGCTGCGCATACACCGTTGCTGGATGCGGTCAAGCTTCGCGAGGTTGAACCGGGCTGCGCCTTGCCAGACTTGGGGATCATATTCCATGGTTGAGCGGATGAAGCCTTTGTATACGCTGAGGCGGCCGTTGCAGTTGAGTACTGGGCACACCTTCCTTAAGAAGCCAAGGCGTTGGCTGGCTCTGACTGCAACCTGGTGGAGATGGTTGCGGAACAGTAGTTTGCGGTCGAAGGTCACACCGAGAAGCTTTTAAAACATCTCCTCTCTGATCTCGGTACCATCGAAGCTGAGAGACGAGGGTGGGAGGGATGTTGATCGTCTGCTCATCGACATTCCCTGGCGCTTTGTCGGCTCAAACTGGACCTTCCATCTCGATCCCCAAGCTTGTAGCTCATCTAGGCCTATTCTGGTCTGACCACCTCCCACCGCTGTAGGAGCTGCATCTACGCCTTAGATCTTTGCAGGGTGGTGGAGTTCCTACGGATGCTGAAATCTCAGTCTGAGTCTCAAGCGAACAGTGAATTTTTTTCTCTTTTTAAAATTTGGACTGTCAGCGTACTGGAACCAGCATTCGTGAACTAAGGCCAATATGCCTCCGCGGCACAATCAGGTTCAGGATTTTCTTACCATTGTTTGATCATTGGCGTGGGAAAGCTTCCATGCTCGCTGCCCTTTCTTCCCACAGACAATTTCTACAATAAAGGCCATGCGGCCCGCTAACTCCAGACTCTGGTTACCTGTGTTCTTTTCGACGCTTTTCCTCCTCATAGGGAATCCCTGCTGATCCCAGACTCTTGTTACCTGCATTCTTTTCAATGTGTGTCCTCCACATAGGGAGTCCCCCGTGATACGAGTCTCCTCTGTGTGGCAGCCAGCAGGGGCCACACAGCAGTGGCTAAACTGCTCATTGACAGTGGTGCAGTGCTGACACTGACTGGCCAGGTAACGACGTGTTAAGTGACTACAGATATGCCCTCGTTAGTAGACAATCCCGGAGGTTTCATAATCTTAGTCTTATAATGAATAGTGTCTAGTACTACCCGGACTTGACTACCGCATTTCCCCGATTATAAGTCGCACTCGATTGACTTCACTAGTATACTCTCAATCCCTATCTTCAAGTGATTGCAAAGAAGAAGAGACAAAACAACAACAACAATGAATTTAGCCTGTGTAGTCTCACAGGAAGTGTGATCTTCGAAGTCTGAAGAAGATGTTGAACGGTCTCTGCTGGGATAACAGCTGCACCATAGCTTAGTAGTTAGAGCACGGCTGGCCTAAAGCGAAGGTCCCCTTGGGTTCGAGTCCTGGTGGCGACAGTCAATTTCTTCATCAGACTTTTCCCTTCTCCATTCCCCAAACTACTGAGTAGATGAATTGAGCATTATCGCATTCTTGTCCCCGCAGAAACTGTTCACGTGTACATGTATCTTGCTGTGCATGTGTTTCCTCCTGCACGTGATTATGTATGACACCACCACTGGCACCAGGACGGGCACACAGCACTTGGAGAGGCATGTAGGAAAGGTCACACGGATATGGCAGTGCTGCTGCTGGAGAAGGGTGCTTCCGTTGATCAAGCAAACCGGGTAAGAGCTTGGTAAATGGCTACTGTCTGCACTGTGTGGAGGAAAAAAAACTATTTGTCAGCATCTACAACCTGGAGTCGGCAGTGTTGCTGGCTCGTGACGTCGGCCAGAGAGTGCACGGGGTGGAGGTGGAATTGCTTCATTGGTAAAACAGGCCGAAAGATTCGACTTGCCCTTTGAGGAAATGGGTACTCTCGTCAATGAACTACACATTGCACGGGCAACTTGTTCTTCTTTGGGTGATGAGATGAATGCTATGAAGTCGGTTGGTTTATGGTTCTTGGAAATTTGCTGCAAGCATTGATAGTCTTGTTCTTCTTTGGGTGATGAGATGAATGCTATGAAGTCGGTTGGTTTATGGTTCTTGGAAATTTGCTGCAAGCATTGATAGTCCTGAATCTATTTGAAATCGAGACATAGTAGTGAAGAGGTAGAGTCCCTTAACCAGGTATTGTCTGTTCGTGGTCGTCTCAACAATGTCAGATATAACTTATCATTCCTGTTGGACTGTCTTCATGGTGGTGTCGTCCCGAGAAGGATCCAGAAGCGGGTTCAGCGCTGTAAGCCGCACGATGTTGCAAAGATTGAGAAGGTATTGTTGCGTGATGAGATAGCAATGGCGAAGATGGATCGGGATAGGTTGTTGTCAAGTTACCGTTCGGTTATATCTCGCGTCCGTGGGTTTCTTAGCCCATTTGACTATATTCGTTTCTCGCGTCTTATTGGTGAATGTGACAGTAAACAGCGGAGCAAGTTAGTTGCCAGGTACTCACGACAGTTAGAACTTTTGCGTAAAGATCGCTTTGGCTCATTCAAGTGCCGTGATGAGTTCATTGTTAATTTAGCAGGAATTGAACTGTCGGATGCACAAAGAGAGTTGTTGTGCCGGGGTATGGACTATGGTTTACCTTGCAAGCCTGGCCGCGAGGAGGTCTATGCACAATTTGAGTTGTTTCACGATCGGTTGTCTGGTTCCCTCCCTAAGTCATCTGAGTCATATGACGTTGCCGCGACCAAGCTCTCTGCTGTGGCAGTTGACTACCTTGATGCGCGGAGTGATACGGCGCAATACCCTATATCTCCTCAACATTACAAAGCTCGTAAAGAGTTACGCAATAATCCAGATATAGTCATCACAAGGCCTGACAAGGGTCGAGCCGTAGTAATTTTGAAGAAAGCCGAATATATTGCTAAGACCCTTCACATTCTTTGCGATGCCTCTAAGTTTGTTAAGTTAGGTCCCGTCGAGTCACATGATCGTACCTCTATAATTGAAGATAAATTATGCGCCTTTCTTGATAGGTTGGTTGAGTCGAAGGAACTGATTGACTATGAGGCTAAGCTGCTTAAGCCTTTGGGTTCAGCTCGCCCTAGAATGTATGGCTTACCGAAGATTCATAAGAGGGATTGTCCTGTCCGGCCCATCCTTTCTATGTTAGGTTCTCCCCAGTATAAGATTTCTCGCTGGCTGTGTAGAATGTTGCAACCCGTTTTAGAATTATACAGTCGGTATGTAGTTCGCGATAGTTTTCAATTTGTCGATATTCTGCGCGACCACTCCTTCCCCGATACCTATGTTATGTGCTCTTACGATGTTGTTAGTCTGTTCACAAATGTCCCTTTGGATAAAGTCATTGATATTTGCTGCGAAACGCTATATCATCGCTCACTATGTCCGCCTGGCGAGTTACGTGAAGATTCGTTCCGCGAAATGATCCGCTTGGTAACGTCAGGTGTGGAGTTTTCCTTTGATGGTGTCATGTATCGACAGATTGATGGTGTTGCTATGGGTTCGCCCCTTGGTCCTGTTTTGGCAAATATATTTGTTGGTTATTACGAATGTCAGATTCCGGTTAGTTTGATGCCCCCATTGTATGTGAGATTTGTCGATGATTCTTTCTCGTATTTTCAGTCTGAGGCTCAGTGCCTCCAATTTCGTGATCTGCTGAGGAAGGTTGTTGATGGTATGTTGGATTTCACGTGTGAATTTGAGGAGTCAGATCGTCTACCTTTTCTTGATGTGCTCGTTGAGAAGTCAATTGATGGTGGTGT